GTGTTTGATAGATTACCGTGTCGTCGCTGTGTTTTAACAGAGTTCAGGTCTGGTAAAGCAACAGTGAGTGCGGCTGCTTCAGAAGAGCCATCGACCTTGTGTTGCGCTGATCAGTTTAGGCCGTTTTTTTATTGCGGTTTTCATTAATCCACATGCTCTGCTAAAGTCAGCCTTGCATCCATCATTCGGGCTGAGTGCTGTATCTCATAGGACTTACTGCAACTGTATTAAACGATGGTGATGGAGCTACTACTGCAAATATACCTGCACTCTTTGATATGCGACAAATGTAGCTGTAACGTTAATAGACTTGAGAAAAATTCGGAATATTGATGAGTCAAAAATCTGCAACTAAACCAAATCTATTAATAATGTTCATTTTAAAGATTAAATTGTTCAGTTATACTGTAATTTATCCACAGAAAATTCTAAGGTGTTATAATTTTAAACAGAACTTTCCAAATATTCAAATAATTGCCATATTACATATATTATAAACAAACACAAGAATGATATTTAACCATTTTTATTTTTCCTATATGCATTAAACAATAATATTATTTACCTGAATTTTATTTAATGTAAAACTTTAATACAGTATTTGATAAATGCCACTTTAATATTTTTGAGTAAATAGCGCAAATGAATCATTGAATTGAGCCGAGTTATGAATTGAATCAGCTCAAATGTATCATGTAAATGAATCAAACTCACCAACTCTAATGCTACTCTATAATTTGCTATAAAAATGTCAAATAAAAAATGTAAAAAAAATGTAATTAAAAATGTTAAGGTATTAAGGTAAGGTATAATAAAAATCCAATCACTGAATTGCGTTTTGAATTGATATATTGATTTGAAATGGACAGTTTGAACTGATTCATAGAAATGAATCAAACGTTTTTTTGCTACAAATAAAAAAATATATGTTAAGTTTAAATTCGAAGATATTATAAATATAAATTATTATACAATTTTCATACCTCCGAATAATTGTCATTGAAGAAATGTAGTGCTCAACATTTTTAAAAATCCCTAAAAAATATCTATTTGACAAAGTTTTTCCTAATTCCTTTTTAGTAATGATTGCTGAAGCAAGCATTACTATTACCTTTAATATTGCTCAAATAATGTTGCTCAAATTTAAATTCTTTGGTATTACAAAACATTAGAAAAGATGATTTTCAATAATTTTCATACCTTAAATAATTGGCATTCAGAATTGAAAGAAAATACTATTCTATTTCACTAACATCCTTCGTAATGCTTTAGCATAAGGCAACAAATCTACAAGTAGTCATTCTATTTGCTCGGTTATTATTTTTCGAATGATTTTTATCTATATTTCACACATCTGCTTCGTCTTGGTTTAACAAGTGGCTGCAGTCACGCTCTCGGACTTGTTGAGGTTATCAGGTACGACCCTTAGCTGTCGTAACCAGGGCATTACAAGTGCAACTTCCCCTCTGTTGTCAAATTCAGCATTTTTCCATAACTACCCGCTCAAGCACTCGGTTGGAATATTGGATGCTTGAAGGTGAAGCACCCTTGAGTATTGTGTTGCAGGTCGTCCATTACCATAATTGGTTTTACCTACCAAGTAGGTTTCCTTACATAACCCATTTTAAATGTTTAATTGCTCCGTTTTGAAGCTAGTAAGTTGAAAGCGGTGGCTTCGTGACATGTTTTCCTCATATAAACAAAATTAAAGCTTCACGCTTATCATCCTTTGTGCAGGCAACTGTTGGTTTGTTGGTGGTTGTTGTTGTTGCTAAGCTTTGAGTAAGATAGCGTCTGTCACCGTTCGGAAAGCCAGCTTGTGTTTCGCTGTCTAAGTTACACTCGCACGGAAAGTCGAACAACAGCCTAAACTAACAGACGGGCTGGTTAATGTTACAGCATCTCTGGCAATTGTCAGGCCTTTTAGGACACTTGATGTGTCTTATCTGCTCTAAAATCTCCCTTTCTTCTGGTCTTACGATTTCTGTCATGAGTCAGTGTAGACGGGAACGTCCAAACGTGATTAGATCCACGAGGCCTGATTTTATTTTTGGTAGAATCCCGTGTTTTTGCTGTATTTTTGCTGTGTTTGAATTAGGATATGTTGTAGGAGTGTGTGTTTTGTTCGCATGTGCGTCGTATGAATATGAGGGATTAGTGTCGTATTTTGAGGCAGTGTGATTCATGTGACTAACATGTGTAGGTGGTATACAAGGGTCTCAAATGGAAATGTTTATTTTGTCATTACAGTCTTTTGGCTAAAAAAAAAACCTCTAAAAGCTTTGAGGCATGAAGGATTTATTTTTCTGTCCGAATGATTCAAGATTTATAGTGATGGATGGTTGCTAAAGAAATCATTACTATTACCATTTATTATTATTGCTCAAGTAAGGCCTAATATTTCAGTAGGCCTATCAGTAACTAAATTTTTATGTATTTTGTATAAAATGGCTTAAAACATTTTTTTTTTTTTACATTTCAACTCGTAGTGAAGTAGGCTATTTTTAATATGTTTAATGTAAAAAAGTAAAATCTTAATAAAAATGTAGTTGAATAATGAAGAATGATATTTAATAATTTTAATTTGGACTCTTTATGCACTAATATAGTTTTGATGATGAACTGATGAATCAAACTTCACGGATGTAATGCTCTTTTTGGCATAAAACAATTAAAATAAAAATAAAAACCTTTTTATTAAAAAAAAAACAATTACTTACATTTTTTGAATAAATATATATATATATATTATAAAAAGTCTGAAAAAATTATTTTAACAATTGTCGTACCTTAAAATTATTGCCTTTGAAGAAATTTAGTGCTCAGAAAATAAATAAAAAAAACTAAAAAACACCAGTCCATTTGACTAAATTTCTTTGTAATTCATTTTTACTGATTCTTTCTTTCTTTCTTTCTTTCTTTCTTTATATGTCCCCTAAGGGCAATTAGTTTTACAGCAAGACCAGCATACAAAAAAAGACAATTTACAATACATAAAAAATTACATTAAAAATTACATAATAAAAAAATTCTTGCTTGCAAGCATTACTATTACCATTTATTATTGTTGCTCATACTAAGGCTTTGCAAAATAGATCAATATTTTTATGATATTTAGTATCTCAATATTTAGCTATTATCTATAAAATGACTATAAAATTCTGTCATATAAACCATCATCAGCAACTTAAATGTAAATGTTTTTCATTAATAATGAATGCTAATTTTTTTTCCATTTAGGCCCTTTATGAACTAATATGACAAATATATAATCATTTTAATATATGAAAATTGTCACATGAACATTTTTGAGTGACAATATAAGCAAATCATTGATTTTAGTTGAGTTCTGAAGTGATACACTGATTGAAATGCACAGTTTAAACTGATTGATGTACTGCAAACGAGTCTGTTTTGCTATAAAAACCAAATTAAAAATTAAATATACATGTTTAAATTATAAAGTATTATAAACAAATTAAGGAAGGCATTGCAAAATAGCTCAATACTTTTCAGTCCCAATATTTTCTGCATTTTTATGATATTCAATATCTCAAAATGTATATTTTTATGGATTTATGGATTTTTTCAATCATCTATAATTTCACCTAGCAAATTTTATTTATTTAATGTAAAAAGTAAAATACTGTAAAATGTAGTTTAGTACTGTAAAGGTGTTTCAATACAGAAGAATAATGTTTAATCATTTAGCACCTTTATGCACTAATATGATAATACCTAAGATAAACAGCAATATTTGAATAGTTTTTCTTATGTTAAAATATCCTAGTAGGTAAATATTGCTGTTTATTTTATATATTGTCATACTAGTGCATAATTGGCCAAAATAAAAATGAGCAACTATGCAAACAAGCAATTATACCTTTCATGCAATTATGCGAGCCATTCATTAAATACAGTTTTTTTGGTTTGTGGTTTGGTTGTCACACAAAAAGAAAACAGTTTGTGTGAACGGTTAGTCTGTTTCTTCAGGAGTTTAAGGCTACGTCCACATGAAGCCAGAGCTTTCCCTATCCGATCTTTTTTTTCTCCTCTTCTCAAGAAATATCTTGAGAAACCACACGAAACCACAAAACCGACACAAAACGATGTAGTATACATGCCAGACCAGCATGTGGCGCTGTAATTCTGCCACAGAGATACACTAAAAACGGAGAAGATAATGGTTAAATTAAATTTTATTAATCAAAAAGCATGTCTAATTAATTGAAATCATAAAACTTACAATATTAAACAGCAATTCATTAAAAGTTTAACAAAAGTTACATTTTTAAAGCCCTATGAAATGTTTTTTATTTCTCAAATTCAGTTAAATTTTTTACTAAATTCTGATTTGTATTAATTTTCTGAATTTCATTTTAATGATTTCATTAAATATTAATAATCAGAAGTATCTCTAATTAATTGATTTAATTAAAAAAATATTTTATTTATTTCTCTTTTTTTCAGAAAAACTGTGTTGTGTATTTAAAATGTTCTGCTAAATAAATTCTGGTAAATATATATTTTTTCTGGTGAATATTCCTTTAAAAATAATGTTTTAGTAATAATTGTATTATTAGTAGTAGTACTATCATTACATGAAGTAATATTTCTGTCAGGGTTACTTCAAGTTAAACCGAAGGGTTGCTGTGAAGACGTTTAGGTTTAGGTTGTATATGATTGATGATAAAGATAGATTTACTCAAAAGAAACCGTAAAATGCTCATAAAGTGACTCTCAGAGCAGTTCTAGAGATTATATTTATGTGTACATGTACTCATAAATTAAGGTGGCACTTCAGTATGTGTATAGTAAACGAAACCGTGCATCTGTGCCATTTATAGACACGCAGAACATACAGGATTCATATTTAATTTTTGCAGCTTAATATTCACAGACACTTGTCCAGATCGCGTTTTGATTCAAGTGTACTGACCTACTTTGGAGATCTTGGTGTGCGCCATACACCCCATCCCGGGCAACTACACCTTCACGTGGACGGCGCGGCTCGCCTTTTCCTACGCACCGTCCAAGACAGACGCTGACGTGGATATCATCTTGTCCATTCCCATGTTTCTCCGTCTGTACCTCATTGCTCGCGTCATGCTGCTGCATAGCAAACTCTTCACCGATGCGTCGTCGCGCAGTATCGGTGCCCTCAACAAGATAAACTTCAACACACGCTTTGTCATGAAGACCCTCATGACTATCTGTCCCGGGACAGTGCTGCTGGTGTTCACCATTTCTCTGTGGATCATCGCCGCCTGGACTGTGAGGGCGTGCGAAAGGTGGCCCGCTTTGTTGCTCTGACAGTAGAAGTTTGTTTGATGGAGAGATTTTTAGGAGGTCTTTGAGACGCACTTAAAATTGTATGAATATAACTACACTATTCATATATACCAACAATTACACAGTAGTAGTAATGTTATTTTGGTAATTCACTGTTACTACGTATATATATATATATATATATACATTTTAGAATATGTATTTTAGATTATATAATTTAGAAAATATATTCTATTATATTCTGTTAATAGATTATATATTTTTAAATTATATTATGAATTCATGTTTTGGTAATTTACAGTTACTAGGTGAGTTTTTTTTCTGAAAATTGATATATATATATTTAAGTAAAGATCATGTTCCATGAAGATATTTTGTAAATTTCCTACCGTAAATATATCAAAACTTAATATTTGATTAGTAATATGCATTGCTAAGGACTTCATCTGGACAGCTTTAAAGGCAATTTTCTCAATATTTTGATTTTTTTGCACCCTCAGATTCCAGATTTTCATTGTATATATATCCAGCATAAGTTTATATGTATATACATATATATATAAGAGTTTATATTATATTATATATTTTTTAATTATACACTTGTCATAAATTCATGGTAACTCACAGTTACTAGGTGAGTATTTTAGAAAATGTATATATACATTTTAGAATATATTCTATTATATTTTATATATTTTTTACATTATACAGTTATCATGTAATCATGTTTTGGTAACTTACAGTTACTAGGTGAGTTTTTTTTTAATGTAAATATACATTTTAAAATATATTATAATATATTTTATTATAAATAATATTTTAATATTATTTTGATTATGCAAATTTAAATTCATAAATTTATTTTGTGGTAATTCACACTTTACTAGGTGATTTAATTTAGAAAATATGATCGACACAAATCCTATTGTTGGGTGCGCCATCGTTACAGCATATAATTAGATATTGTATATATGTATTTTCAATTATATACAATTGTATAGAAGTAAAATATTCACACTTTCTAGAAACTGAGCTCTAAGTATCAAAAATGCATCATTTCGAGAAAAAAAAGACACTGTGCCTTTCTCTCAACCTGTTAAACCCTATAGAGTATCAAATCTCTCACGTTGCAGACCTGGAGAGCCTCTGTGAGCTGCGTAACCTTTTAAACAGCAGTTAAATAGGTTTGGAAACCGAGTCAGTTGTGTCCCAACTCAGCTAGATGCCTCAATTAGCCAATTAAGTATTGGCTTACAGCAACGACAGCATGTCCAACTGCTGCGGTGGAGTGAGCACTACTTAATTGTATAATGTGAGACAAATTAGCACAATTTTCACGGCTGATTGATTAACTTACAATTAAGTCAGTCATAGGTGGGCGTAAAGTAATTGTAGTTGTTTTTCTAATGCCATTTTACCCTTACCAGATACCATGACAACATGGATGTAACCAGCAATTTCCTTGGAGCCATGTGGTTGATCTCAATAACTTTTCTAACCATTGGATATGGGGATATGGTCCCTAATACATACTGTGGGAAAGGAGTCTGTCTCCTCACCGGCATTATGGTAAGTGCCGTATCTCAGCGTAACGTAGGGTTTGTTTTAGACTGAAAGCTTAAGGAGGCTGTTTGTTTTGTCAGGGAGCCGGATGCACTGCTTTGGTGGTCGCTGTGGTCGCAAAAAAACTGGAATTAACCAAAGCTGAAAAACATGTACATAACTTTATGATGGACACCCAGCTGACAAAAAGGGTAAGTCTGAACTCCTAAACCTGAGCCTTGTGGCGTCGTATGTCACCGTTTATTCTTAATCCCTGCAAACCTGTGAAAATAATATCCAGCTTATGCAAAGTGGAAAATAAGTAGCATTTATTAAATATAAACAAAATGTTTGAATGTATTAAGGTGACACGCTGCTTACAAAACAGTATTTTGAAACCCAATTTTCAAAATACACAAAATTCAGCTTTTTGAGAGGAAGATTACTAATAATGATGTTAAAAACAGTTACGACGTTGTCAGAAATGTGAGAAATAGGCTGGAAATTTAAAAAAAATAGGCTTTCATTCTTCAAGCATGGCTTACTTGGTTAGCCAGATAAGCTTTGTCACATAAACGAAGTATATTCTTTTACGATTAGCTGATTACGCTAACATAGGCTTAATGCTAATGCTCTGCAGCAAGCTAACACCAAACTGGAAGTATATTTGCCATTATTTTTTCCCATAGGGACTTTATAAAAGTCTCTATTAAAGATAAAGATTGTAAGCCATGAACCAAACCAACTAGCTATGAGGTGAACCACAACATTACAAACTGATTTGAAGCAAAAAAATTTACAAAGGTATGAGACTGTGTACGGTAACTGCTTTAGCGAGGGAAAGAACTACAATGAACTACAATCCCATGAACCATTGCGAACAACATAATCGAATTAAAAATGTTAAATAATGATAAATAAAAGATTAATAAAAAACTATTAAAGGTGTTGATTTTATACACACTGCCATTCAAAAGTTTGGGACCAGTAAGATTTTTTGAAGAAGTTTCTTATGCTCATCAAGGCTGTATCTATTTGATCAGAAATACAGAAAAAAACTGTAATATTTTGAAATATTGTTGCAATTTAAAATAACAGTTTTCTATTTTAATATACTTTCAAATATAATTTATTCGTGCGATCAAAGCTGAATTTTCAGCATCATTACACCAGTCTTCATGATCCTTCAGCGTCACATGATCCTTCAGAAATCATTCTGATATGCTGATTTATAATAAATGTTTGAAACAGTTGTGCTTCTTAATATTTTTTGTGGCCTGTGATATTTTTTCAGGATTCTTTGATAAATAAAAATTTAAAAAGAAGTGTTCATTCAAAATAGTAATTTTGTGTTGCAATATACACAACATACATTTTTTCTTCCTTTTTTTTTAAAGAAATTAATACTTTTATTCAGCAAGTATGTGTTAAATGGATAAGTAATAGTAAAGACTTCGATTGTTAGAAGATTCTAATCTTTGTTAAAAGATTTCTATTTTGAATAAATGCTGTCCTTTTTAACTTTTCATTCATCAAAGAATCCAAGAAAAAAGTATCACAGGTTCCAAAAAAATATTAAGCGGCACAACAGTTTCAACACTGATAATAAATCAGCATATTAGAATGATTTCTGAAGGATCATCAGTAATGATGCTGAAAATTCAGCTTTGCATCACAGAAATAAATTACTTTTTAGAGTATATTAAAATAGGAAACCAATATTATAAATTGCAAAAATATTTCAAAATATTCCTTCTTTTTCTGTATTTTTGATCAAATAAATACAGTCTTGATGAGCATAAAAGACTCCATTAAAAAACATTCAAAATCTTACTATTCCCAAACTTTTGAATGGCACTGTATAAGTTATATTTGTCATGATTCTCTGATTGGTGGATTTCTTTGTAGAATTAAGGGTAATGTAGTTTTTCACATTGATGAACACTATTATTAAAAAAAAAAAAAAAAAAAAAACTTGAATAATGT